AGGTCCGGAGAGTTTTATTTACAGAACACACATGAGTGTGCAGTAGTACTAGTGCAGTTAAATCAAAAACACATCATAGTCTTAATCATCAATATGTCAAAACAATGTTTTCATCCAGTGTGACTTATGATCATAACATTACATCAAAAAAAGGTCAGCATAATTTTAAAACTCAAAGTCCCGGTAAAACATCACTTTTTGTGTGACAGTACCGCACCGCATTCTTTGGAGATGACAACTCAATATATTACAATTAGTTCAACTGAGCTGTGCAACCCTGAACAACCCATTCTCAATGCGTCTGTCTTACAAACAGGTCTCATTTCTGCACCCTGGTTTTATCAAAGCCTGAAATGGCCTTGGACTCCTTTCAATGTTTCTGTTCCCCGCTTATTCTCGGTGTTTTCCCACCCTGGTCTTATCTCTCAAACTTCAAGGCTGCACTCAAAGCTGCAGCTGCAGAGAGCTTACACACACACACTGCTCTCTATCTCTATCTCTATCTGATGGAGCACACTCTTTTGGACTCTTTGACCTGTATAACATAAATGTATTTAGTGTAAAACATTTATTCAATATGTAAACATGTATCCAATATATTCTAATCATTGGTGCAGATTAATTTACTACATCAACTGCATACTAAGGAGGTAACCGAGCCATTTAATTCAGGTGTGTTGGAGCAAGGATGGATCTAAAAGTTGCAGGATTCCGGCCACCAGGAACTGGAATTGCCCACCCCTGCTTTACAGCAACCAGCCCACAGGCTCCACTGGCAGCTGTTCATGTCCAAAGCAGACTCAAGCGTGGGCCCCGATACCTGAGCCCAAGGGGTGCACCAACCCTAGAGACCCAAGGGGGGCCAGGCCCAGCCCACCACACACCTAGAACCCAACAAAGCATCCAGCATTACACAGAGAGAAACACCAATGCACCAATAGACAGCGGGACCAGTTACCTGCAAAGAGCATAAGGAGAGTTTGTATTCTAAGCGTAGGAGTATATTTTCATTCATAATTATCAGATTTGAGCCTGTATTTTTATTTTTTATTCATAATTTCTTTTTCATTGTTATCTGAACACACATGCTTTAAGTTATACAGAAAAGGTAAATTACATATTACAAAAAAAATTACAAATCCAGCATTACAGGCAAGGTACTAAAAGACAAATATCTCTCCATACATATCAGTAATTCAATTTTCATAAAAGATAGTAACTGATCAAGAAACTCAGGGTGTAAAGTCAGTGAAACTGGTTTATTTTAAATTCATTATACAAATATAATAATGCAGAGCAATTTGAACTCATTAAGCTCTAATATTGTCATCAATAGGTTAACAGTAACACCAAAGAGAATATTTTTATATTACAGAGAACATAAAAAAGGACAGTGAAAAAAATGGAAGAAACAAAAAATGTAATTGTTAGATACAGTTAGAATCTTTTAAAATATATTTCACAATATTGACAAGACATGTTTAACTCTATGGTATCTCTCAATGTATTTTCCAGATGCAAAAACAATCTACATGAATTTATTAACTTCTTTAGCATTTTCTTATTGCCGCTTTTTTACTGACTTAAATCATGATCAGCTACAAAATTAGATAAAATAAGATGAACTTTTATCTCCCACAAAGGGAAAGTTTTCTTGGGCACAGCAGTATACAGTTAAACATAAAATAACAGACGCAACACCAAGACAACAACACATGAGTTAAATGTTAATTTCCTTTCAAGACATTTTAAAACAGGGTATCGCATGGTAAGGAGGTGTAACTCCAACACATTGAATCTTATTTCAATATTGATACCCTCAGTAGGAGGTATTTCTCCATTTTTAGTTAAAACTTAGAATTTAGTTTATTTAGTTTTATTTATTATTTAGAATAAGATTTGTTTAGTGATTCACTTAATCAGTATAAATAGGTAGGTCTTAGGTAGCTCATTATGCACGTGGTCGGTCATATTTTTTTTTTTTTTTTTTTACCAGTTCTCAACTTTCAGCCAGGCAATCAATCAAACAATCAATCAAAGAACAGGTGCAGGACTCAGAGTGAGAGCAATAGAAGAATCCTGTGAAGCCTGTAACCTGTTTGTCTGTACGGAGAATAAAGCAAGCAAAGAACTGGATTTTGACCCTTTTTGATCTTTTTTAGACTACGTAAGCCAGAATCCACAATGCAACAGGTGGCTATTTGAGTTGAATTCAGCTTTTGTTTTGATCACCTTTAAGTCTTATTTTTATTTTTGAATTTTGGTTTTGTACAAATAGTCACCACACCCTCAAAGGAAAGAAAATTCTAGACTTTAAACAGGCACTGCAGAGTTTTCCAATAATACCGCCACCTGTGGCCAAAAAATAGAACTGCAGTACTTTTCTGCTCGTTCTTGTAGTACTTTTTTCACCTTACCTAGAGTTTTCATTACTATTATTCACAAAATCCATCATAAATATAATGCTTTGTTTGCTAGGGCATACTCATTCAAAAGGAAGAACTTGAAGTCACATCCTCCAAACTTCCAATCCAATGTAAATTTAGTCAAATAGGCTACAGGCTTAGAGATGCAGAACTGCTGAGGTGTCAGTCTGCTGATCAATTGATGCTTTAGTTGTAAAGGGTAAAATAAAAAGGCTATTTAAAATATATTTTTCTGTACAAAACTTACATAATGACTATAAGTCTATAGCCACAGCATAACAAAAATATGAATATAACCGGAAAAGACAGAAAAATAATATTTCAGTGTTCAAATACACATGAAACTTACAGTACTTTCACAAAAATTGTTAATGACCCAGACTGTGACCTAAAACTTTTAACTGGTACCATCTTCCCTAATTTGGCTTATGATTACTTTACAGCCACAAAAATATATGAACTGGCTAAAAAATAAAAAACAAAGAACAAGAGACTGCCTTTTTAAGTTAGAGACTACGATTGTATGCAATTCATTTCAAATTAGATCAATCTTTTTCTCTCTTTAAATCCTTGCTTTAATCCTTGTTTAGTGGTTTTGGAATCTCTTATCAATTACTACATAAAAGTATCCTAAATTAATTAAATGTGGTGTTTTTTTCTCTTTTTGTTTTCTACAAAAGAAAACATTTGTCATGTATCATATGAACTGCCTGCAAAATATCTTAAGCCTTATTTAGTTTGTTTAGCTTAGACATTTAGCTTTATAGCCATCTACTACTTATTATTTTGTTAATGTTGCATTTAGTGGAAATACATCACATTTATGTAAATCCATGCAATTCCCCTTAAACTGGGCAAAACATAGCAAAGTTGGATTTGTCGTAGATGTAGAAACCTGGGTAAAGTGCTTCAGTAAATCTGTTCTCAAAGGTAAACAGATGGGTCAAGGTGTCAGAGGAGACTTGGTAGAAGGACAAAGTTCCTGCCGGCCAATCCAAATATACCCCAATTTTGTTGCATCCAGTAGGAAGACTAGATTCCCAAATCTTACTAAAATCATGCCATGCACGGAGCTCATCGTCATTGACTCCAAAGTACCAGGAAACATCATTATACCCAAATCCAGTGGAAAGCCGATTTCCTCTTCTTGGATTGCTTTCATATGCAAGGCCTATGCCGAGATCTTTATTCTTTTCACTGCTCCACTTTACTTCAAAGTAATGACAGCCTCTTAGACCTTCCCTGCAGAGAACCTGGGGATACGAATCAAACCTCTTCTCTGTTCTGGGATATTTTTGCCGGGAACCATTTGTTGCCTTCTTGCCTCCATCAGAGAGAGTGAGGTCGCCATTCACAGTTTCTGGGTCCAAGGTAAGAACGCAGGAGTCTGTGGGATACATAAAGTGTGTTAATGTTTATCTTATTGACTCAACAGAAAAGGCAGATTTCTCACTTACTGAATATTCAAATGAATGTATATGATGTTTTTGTGCAAATACACAGTATACTTCAGTGAGAAATTAACAAAGTTTAGCATATGGTTTGATTTATGGTCAGTTGAAGTGGAAATAAAAAACGTTTCGACTTACACCACATTAGATCTTGTTTATCCGTTACATTTTTCACTCGATGAATGGCAGGTTTTGCAAAGTCTTTGGTTTTCAACACGCCTTTCTTGTAATGGTAGATAGTTGCTCCTCTGAACTCCTCATTTGGCAGTGCTGCTACAAGAAAATGAAATCTGCCGGTGCTCTTTAGCTCTTTAGCCGTTTCTGAAATCATGTTTGCTTTCTCCTTGATGTTTTCTATGACCTCATCTGAGAAGAACCACTGGTCTTTTGCAGGTGGAGTAGCAAAGTTTGGAGTTTTTTGTACATAACTGGCCATCTGGTCCATGTAGGTGTCACTCATTTCAATCGAGGTAAAAACAAAGCAGAGGGCATCTTCTACATTCAAGACTTCTCTATCCAAGTCTGACTTCTCTGGGATGATCTTGATTCCCTTCATTATGTCTAAACAGGAGGCAATGACGTTGATTTCTCTGTCTAAATTATCAAGCCACATGTTTAAGTTTTTCTTGCTGAAGGGAGAGTTTTCCTGCTCATCTAGGAAATTTTCTAATGATTCTTCTTCTTCCTCTTCACCCCCGCGAATAAGGGGAATTTTCTCCTGCATGGTCTGTTGGACGGTTTTCATGTAATCTGCACAGAGATCCTGGAAAGATTTTACCTTTCTCTGAATCTGTGGAAAAGTCTTCATTATTTCTTTTTCCAGAGTTTCATTGCATCGCATTTGTATTTCTCTGATACCTTCGCAAACATTTTCAGCTTTTCTGAGTACAACATCAGAAATGCTTCCCTTCAGCTGAGCTGCAGATGAATCCAGGTTCTTCAGAGGAGACAGCCAGATTTTAACAGGAACAGATTTCTCTCCATCTTTTCCAAGAAGCCCTGGAAGGTTTCTGTAGGTATC